ACCGAAGAGCTCGTTCGGGAAATGCGAGACAAGGCGATCAATGCCGATGTCATGACACCGCACATCAGGAAAGATGGCGGACATTACAGCCAGGTTGAGACGGCTTACATCCTCAAGAAGTCAGGCCTATCCCCGCTCGGTCCTGTCGCCTGCAACACAATGGCGCCGGATGAGGGAAACATGTTCCTGCTTGGCAAAGCCGGAAGTGAAGAGCAGAAGGCGCGTTTCCTGGCACCGCTGGTGAGCGGCGAAGCAAGATCAGCATTCTTCATGACCGAACCGTCTGCTGACGGCGGCGCCGGGTCCGATCCGTCCATGATGCAGACGGAGGCCAAGCTTGATGGCAATCATTGGGTCATCAACGGCAAGAAGACCTACATCACCGGGGCTGACGGCGCAAAGGTCGGCATCGTCATGGCAAACTCTTCTGACGGCGCCTGTATGTTCTTGGTGGATCTGCCCGACCCGGCGATCAAAATCACCCGTGTGCTGGAGACGATTGACAGCTCCATGCCGGGCGGACACGCAGAAATCACCATCGACAATTTGCGTGTGCCTGCCGATCAAATGCTGGGCCAACCGGGGCAAGGCTTCCGCTTTGCGCAAGTCCGGCTCGCGCCGGCAAGGCTTTCCCATTGCATGCGCTGGTATGGTGTCGCGGTCAGGGCACAGGAAATTGCGACGGAATATGCCTGCCGCCGCGAAGCGTTTGGCAAGCTTCTGATTGATCATGAAGGTGTGGGCTTCATGCTAGCGGAAAATCAAATCGACCTTAAACAGTCCGAATTGATGATCGATTGGTGTGCAGCGACGCTCGACCGTGGTGAAGACGGGAATGTTGAAAGTTCTATGACGAAGGTGTCTGTGTCGGAAGCGCTTTTCCGCGTGGCAGACCGGTGTGTTCAGGTGATGGGTGGCATGGGTGTGTCCGGCGATACCATCGTTGAACAATTGTTTCGGGAGATCCGCGCCTTCCGCATATATGACGGGCCGACCGAAGTCCACAAATGGTCGCTGGCCAAGAAAATCAAGAAGAAGACACTGGCCGCAATGTAAGGATCCAAAAGTCAACAGGGGCGCCTATGGGGCGCCCCTGAGACCAATTTAGCTGTAGCGGTAAGGACGTCCGGCCTTCTGCATATCCGCATTGTATTTCTTGAAGATCTCAACGACCTTCGCTTTGGTTGCTGACTCGGCCGCAATCTCATCCCAGAAGACGAGAGCGGCTGCTTCCACCGTCGCCCACTCTTCATCTGGAATAGAGGTGAGCTGCATCTTAGTGCCGTCTACACGGAGGGAAGCTTCACCACCCCAATACCACCACTGGCGATAATAGTGGGAGCTATCCATAGTGATTTTGAGCAGCTCTTTCAGGTGATCTGGCAGCTCATTATAGCGATCCATGTTCGCAAAGAAGGAGCCAGCCCACGCGCCTGAGATATTGTTGGTGAGAAAATAGTCGGTGACATCGGCCCAGCCGACTGTGTAGTCCTCGGTGATGCCAGACCAGGCGACACCATCCAGCTCACCGGTCTGCACCGCAACCTCAATATCCTCCCACGGAAGTGTCACGGGCACGACGCCAAATTGACTGAGAAAACGTCCAGCCGTCGGGAAGGTGAAGACGCGCTTGCCCTTTAGATCTTCAAGGCTTCGGATGGGGTCTTTGGTCGCAAAGTGGCACGGGTCCCACGCACCAGCAGAGAGATGTTTCACGCCGACCTTTGAATATTCCTCATCCCAGATTTCGTTGAGACCATATTGATTGAACAAGACAGGCACATCGAGGGAGTAGCGAGAGGCAAATGGGAAATATCCGCCAAACACGGTCACTTCCGTGGGCGACGCCATGGAATCGTCATCGGATTGTACAGCGTCGATGGTGCCGCTTTGCATGGCGCGGAAAAGCTCGCCGGTAGGGACAAGCTGATCAGCAAAAAAGAGTTCGATCTGCATCTCATCGCCAGCGATCTTATTAAAACTATCAATGGCAGGCTTGATCACATGTTCTGCTAGAGCAGGTCCCGCATATGTCTGCATGCGCCAACGGATGGTTGTGTCTGCATGAACGGCGGGAGCAGCCAACGTGGCGGCACCAGCAACACCGGCAGTGGTGAGAAACTTACGTCTGGTCGTCATATCTCGTCTCCTTGTTAGTCGATTGGATACTCGCTCAGGGTATTGGGCAGTGATACGCAGGCGGCTCCTTTTGAACCTCTTCCTAATTTCCGTAAACAACCTCCGGTAGCCAGAGGGCGATCTGCGGAAAGGCCATGATCAATGTCAGGGCCAATAACATCACCATAACAAAAGGAAAGATGGAACCATAAATGTCGCGCAGGCTGTTTTCTGGCGGGGCCATGGCGCGCATAAGGAACAAATTATATCCAAAGGGCGGCGTCATATAGGCGATCTGTGTGGTGATTGTGTAGAGAATCCCGTACCAAACGAGATCAAAGCCAAGCGCGCCGACGAGGGGGACATAAAGCGGTGCAACAATAACGAGCATCGCTGTGTCATCCAGAAACGTCCCCATCAGTAAAAAGCTGAGCTGCATCAAGATGAGGATCATCCAGGGGTTGAGGCCCAGCTGATCTGTGAACAGATTGTCGATTGCGCGAACGGCACCAAGACCGTCGAACACTGCGCCGAACCCCATGGCGGCCAAAATGATCCACATGAACATGCAGGAGATGGCGAGCGTCTGGCGCAGAGAGGTCTCAAAGACGTCCCGTGTCATGCGTCGCTTGAGGATGGCTGCAAAGAATGCGGCTAGCGCCCCAATGGCAGAGCTTTCAACCAGCGAGGTCCATCCATTTACAAAGGGCACCATCATGACCGCAAAAATGCCAACTGGGAGCAGACCTGCACGCAAGAGACGGAGTTTCTCAGCCAGCGGCACATTACGTTCGTCCTCTGGAAGGGCCGGGCCCAGCGATGGATTGATGCGGCAGCGGATGTAGATATAGGCAATGAACATTGCTGCCATCATGAGTCCGGGAAGGACACCCGCAAGCCATAGCTGCCCCACTGGCTGCCGGGCAATCATCGCATAGAGGACCAGAACAACCGACGGAGGGACGAGAATGCCGAGCGAAGAGCCCGCTTGCACAACCCCGGTCACCATTCGCTTGTCATAGCCGCGGCGCAGGAGTTCCGGTAATGCGATGGTCGCACCAATTGCCATGCCTGCAACCGAAAGCCCATTCATAGCAGAGATGAGCACCATGAGGCTGATGGTGCCGATGGCAAGTCCGCCATTTACCGGCCCCATCCAGACATGAAACATCTTGTAGAGATCATCGGCAATCTTGGATTCAGACAGCACATAGCCCATGAAAATAAACATGGGTAGGGTGAGAAGGGGGTACCACTTCATCAGTTTCATGGCAGAGGAAAAGGGAATAAGCGAGCCGCCTGTTCCCCAGAGCGTCAGTGCAGCAATGGCAGCAACGGCCCCTATGGCACCAAAAACGCGCTGACCCGTCATGAGCATCAGCATCATTGAGGAGAACATTACGATCGCGATCAGCTCGTAGGACATCAGAGCTTAACCTCGCGTATTTCCGCAATGTCCTTAAGAAGCTCAGAGGTTGCTTGCAGCAGCATCAGGAAAAAACCAACCGTCATGATGGATTTGATCGGCCAAAGGTAGGGCCGCCATGCGGTCGGGTTGCGTTCTCCGTATTGCAGGGAGTAGCTGGTGCTGTCTATCGCGCCATAGAGCAATACGCTTAGATAGAAGATCAACAGCAACACGGTGAAGCTATCGAACCAGGCTTTCTTACGAACCGACCAATTGCCATAGAAGAGATCCATGCGCACATTCGAACCAAGTTGAATAGAGTAGGGACCGCCTAGAATGTAATAGGTGACCATGGCAAACTGCGCGAGTTCGAGCGTCCATAGCGAAGGCAGGAAGAAGGTCTTGGAAATGGATGACCAAAGCAGAATGCCCATCATCACAAAGATGCCATACATCATCACGCGCCCGATGCGATAGTTGATGGCGTCGACCGTGCGCACATAAACGCTCACAAATCGGGGCATTGGGTATCCTTCAATGTCGCTACACCGACATCGTGATACGTCTTTGAGATATGCACAAGGGGTTCGCCCTCGCGGGCGTTGAACTATTGGCTGTAAATTGTCGCGTTCCAGATGCCAGCGGAGGTTTTGCCTATCGCGTTGGCATCGTCTGGTTCCGTACGAAGCATATTGTCATTCGCGAGTGCATTGTTCATGAGAATGAGCGCACGGGCTGTGCGATCAGGGTCAGTAACTTTCGATCGTCCGAGCATGATCTGCTGACGAATGAAGCGGGCTGTCTTCTCAATGAAGTAGTCGATGATCCGCTCCCGCCACTCGCTATAGACCTGCGCGCTGTTATTGGATGCCTGTTCCAAAGCGCGCATAGCAGTATGGTGCGCCTCCATCGCCACGAACATGTCTGTCAGGTGATCTTGTGTATCGGCCAAATAGTTATCGCTGCCATTGCCGTCGAGCCAGTCATCGACAGGGACTCGGATAGCTTCTTCAAACCTGTCCATAAAGCCCAATGCCAACTCATCTACACTTTTAAAGTAGTGATAGAAGGAGGATCGGGTCATCTCAGTGCGCCGCATAATGACGTCGACCGTCAGCGATCCGAAGTCGACATCTTCCAATGCCGCGACTGTCGCGTCGATAATCTCCTCGCGGGCCATTTCCGGCGTGCGTCTTCTTCTTTGGGGTTTGCCCGGCATTTTTGGCTCATTCCTGCGGTCTTTGAACGCTGCGAAGAAGGCTGTCCCCCATCGCGAGCCTAGTGTAAGTGGCTTATTGACAGACCGTCAATAGTGGATCATTCTTTATGTACTATCGTGGTGATAGGAGCGACGAGGGAGGACACCTGTATGAACGTGCATGTGAATGAAATGTCTGCTGGCCCAGGTGCTGATCGGGGGGCAAGCTGGGCGAAGGCGGGGACACAGCCTCGGGTGGCGATCATCGGCGCTGGCATGTCGGGCATTGCCGCTGTGGTGAAACTGAGGAAGGCCGGTTACACGGATCTGACCGTCTATGAAAAGACAGACAAGGTTGGCGGTACGTGGCGGGAAAACCAGTATCCCGGTCTCTCCTGCGACGTGCCCTCACGCTGGTATTCCTTTTCTTTCGCGCTCAATCCAGATTGGACTCATCGCTTCTCCTATGGTCCTGAGATTCAGGCCTATATGGAAAAGACGGCAAACGATTTCGGTGTCACGGACATTGTGAAATTCAACACGCCTGTCACAGACCTGACCTATGCGGCTCCACACTGGCGGCTGACCACGGGTGCGGGCGAGGTAGAGCAATATGACATCGTCATCTCAGCAACCGGTGTTTTGCACAACCCTGTTCTCCCAAAGATAGAGGGTCTAGATAGCTTTGAAGGCGACATGTTCCATACAGCCAGATGGGATCACTCGGTGCCATTGGAAGGGCGCAAGGTCGGCATTATTGGTACTGGTTCTACGGCTGCGCAGATCATCGGTGCGATCACAAGTAAGGTCGGAACGATGAACGTGTTCCAGCGGACGCCACAATGGATGATTCCCCTGCCACAGCGGGAATATCTGGGCATCACAAAGTGGTTGATGCGCACATTCCCAGCCCTTCAGAAACTCACTTACAATTTTTATTTCAAAACGATGGTGAAGCATTTTGGTCAGGCCACTGTTGGCGACCAGAAGGAACTCGCGAAGATCCAGGAAGCTTGTTCCAAACATTTGGAAGATGCGGTGAAAGATCCGGAGCTTCGCGCAAAACTTACACCGGACTATCAGGCGGCTTGTAAACGTCTGATTTTCTGCTCGGACTTTTATCCCGCGATTACCAGTGACAATGCCAATCTCATTACCGAAGGGATTGAACGTATCGTCCCGGAAGGGATTAAGACGGTCGACGGCAAAACCCACGAACTGGATGTTCTGGTTCTCGCAACGGGCTTTGACGCCACGTCCTTTATCCTGCCCACGAAGGTGACCGGCGAAAACGGCCGTGATCTGGGTGAGGCATGGGATGGCTCACCCCGTGCGCATCGAGCGGTTGGCATGCCTGGTTTCCCTAATTTCTGGATGCTGGAAGGGCCGACCGGCCCTGTCGGCAATCTGTCTCTGATTACAATTACAGAGCATCAAGTTGACTATGTAATCGCCATGCTCAACAAGATGCGTGACGAAGGCCTGGAAGGCATCGCGCCAAAACAAACTTCCTTTGACGCCTATAATGCAGAGATGCAAGCCCGCGTGCCGACAACAGTATGGGCCAGCGGCGGCTGCGACAGTTGGTACTTCGACAAATCAGGTGTGCCCAATCTCTATCCCTTTTCGCCAGACCGCTACCTGAACGATATGCATGATCCTGATTTTTCGGAATATCGATTGATCGCTGACAGTAGAGAGTCGGATGCGGTTCAAGCTGCCGAATAAAAGGCGGACTGAGTGACGGACTTACGTCTTCACAACTCTGATTTAGATTTGATGATCTCGCCTTCCAATGGGGGCGGGATCGTTTCGTTCGAGGGGTTTGGTGAACCTGTCTTGAAGCCTGCACCCGCACAGATTGCAGCACCAACCGACCCGGCTGCATTTGTTCTTCTTCCCTATTGTAATCGCATCGCTCATGGGCGCGCGACGTTAGCCGAGCAGACCCTTAAACTGACACCCCCGTTTGCCGGAGAACCTCACGCGCTGCACGGAGAAGGCTGGGTGTCACCGTGGAAGGTGAAAGCTCGTGATGGAGTCTCCGCCGAACTTTCCTACAGGCATGAACCGACCGACGGCACCTGGCCATGGGCTTTTGAGGCCACGCAACATTACGGCCTATCGGCTAATCGCTTGGTCCATCGTTTGGAGATTCAAAATAAGTCAGAATTTCCCATGCCAGCGGGCCTCGGCTTTCATCCCTATTTCCCACGAAAACCAGGAGATGGCTTTAGGGCGCAGGTTGGTGGGAGGTGGAATATAGCGGACGACCGGCTGCCGGAAGATCATGGCGTGGGCGGCCCGGCGGACTACTGGCCGCAAAGTCAGCTCCCTGTCGATGTTCCCTTGGATCATTGTTTCACCAGCTGGGATGGCGAACTAACGATCTCCAGCGATGATATTCGGGTCAGCCTGACAGCGTCTGAAGAGCTGGGTCTGCTCCACGTCTATGCGCCGAGCGGCGCGGATTTTTTCTGTGCAGAACCGATGTCCCATATGCCCAACGCGCTCAACCGGCCTGGTGAGCCCAATCAAATGCATGTGCTGCAGCCTGGTGACACATTCAAAGCATCTGTCTGCTATCTCATTGAAAAACCAGCCTGATGAGCGTCAGTGACTAGCTGCCTCTTTCTGGGCCGAGATTCGTGGTTCGCTTCTGGGCTCAAACGTGTAACTTGTCGGGCATAAACCAACTCAAAAAGAAAATCTTCTGAACAGGAGGAAATACATGTCAGACGTTGATGCAGACCTATTTCAGCTCGCAATGTCCGAGGAGGCCCGACCTCTCATGGATGCAGTACAAAAGCATATTGTTGAGAATGTCGACCCGATCACCGAAGAATTCATCAAACTCAATGACGAGAAAGAAGATCGCTGGAGCTGGCATCCGCGCCAGCTGGAACTTTTGGAGAACGCCAAAGACAAGGCGAAGGAAGCTGGTCTCTGGAACTTCTTTTTGCCTGATGATGAATCTGGGGCAGGTCTCAGCAACCTGGACTACGCTTACATTGCCGCAGAGCTCGGCAAATCACCGCTCGCATCCGAGTCGTGGAACTGTAGCGCGCCAGACACCGGCAACATGGAAGTGTTGGAACGTGTCGGCACCGAAGCGCAGAAAGAACAGTGGCTGAAACCACTCTTGAACGGCGAGATCCGTTCTGCTTATGCCATGACGGAACCAAATCTCCCGTCTTCGGACGCAAAAAACATCAGCACAAGTGCGGTGCTGGAGGGTGACGAATGGGTCATCAATGGTGAGAAGTTCTATATCTCAGGTGCAGGCGACCCTCGTTGCAAGATCATGATCACCATGGTGAAAACGAGCCCCGATGCAGCACCGAGTAAACAGCAGTCACAGATCCTTGTGCCGATGGATACACCAGGTGTCGAAGTTCTCGAAGGCATGCAGGTCTTCGGTGAAGATCATGCGCCGCGTGGGCACATGCACATCAGATTTACAAATGTGCGCGTACCAAAAGAAAACATGCTTCTGGGCGAAGGACGTGGTTTTGAAATCTCTCAGGTGCGTCTGGGCCCTGGTCGCATCCATCACTGCATGCGGTCCATCGGGAAGGCGGAAAAGGCGCTCGAGTTGATGGTCAAGCGCGCAGGCTCCCGCGAAGCATTTGGCAAGCCGATTGCGAAGCTGGGAAAAAATGTTGAAGTCATCTCGCGCGCACGTATCGAGATCAACGCTATGCGCCTTGCGGTATTGCAGGCTGCCAAGGCTATGGACGTCCTCGGCAACAAGGAAGCCCGCGTCTATGTCAGCGCAGTGAAGGCCATGGTGCCGGAGAAGGTCTGTTTGATCATCGACCAGGCCATTCAGATGCATGGCGCTGCGGGTATATCTCAATGGACACCGCTGGCAGGTCTTTACACCGACATGCGCCATCTGCGCTTCGCTGACGGTCCAGATGAAGTGCATCACATGGTTGTGGGGCGTGCGGAACTGCAGAAATACGACTTGTGGTGAGATAGAACGGAGCCCGGCTCGGAGCCGAGTTTCCACAGGAAATCTAAGAGACCCCTTGCGAGCCTCAGGCTGGTGAGGGGTTTTTTAACGTGAAAGGCCTAATTTCTGCGCAGATCGCTATTTGTATCAGTACTGATACAATTTTGCAGAAGAAGAGGTGCCTTCGGGACACGTTGGCCCGCGTCGGCGTCTAGCCTTCTGCTGCTTGCGTCGAACTGGGAGAATATCGATATGCATGCATCAAGGCGCCAAGTATTGATGGGCGCGGCTGCAACCTCTGTGCTGGCCACGGCTGGCTGCGTGGGGTCCTTCGGATCCTCGTCTTCATACCTGACACAAATTCTCGAACCTGCAAATCAGAACACGGTTTTCCACTGGACTGATGTCGTGATGCAGCAGGTACGTGATCAACGTGTGCCACCACCTCGGGCGGCATACAATTTCTCTCTTCCCCTGGCTGCCGGCTTTCTCGCGGCAAACGGGATAGAGCAGACATATGACGAGCCCTATGGAATAGGGGCAGGTCCATCCGGTGCTGACCCTGAAGTCGCTTATGGCGTCGCTTTTGCAATTGCCGCGGCCGAAGCTTTTCAACAGCCTTTCATATTCGAACGACGAGCCTTTCTGGACAGGTTCCCCGATGGTGACGCGAAACAGCGGGGCATCGAATGGGGGGAGCGCGTCGGTAATTTCGTTGTGGACTTGCGAACCGATGATGGCTCAGAGCCCAGTGAGGTGAATTTCTATTTGGACCGATATCAGCGTCGTCCAGATGAACTCCGGTGGAGCCCTACGGGGCCATTCTACTCAGCGTCCCCTGGACCGGCATTCGGGTCTTTTGCCCGTGGCCTCTTTCCCGGACAAGGGAAAATCAAACCCTGGACGATGACGTCAGGATCTCAGTTTCGCGCGGTCGATTTTTATGACCCCAAAAGCCCTGAATTCGCGAATGAGTTTGCCACGATTAGAGCTCTAGGCGGCGGAGATAGTACAATCCGGACTGAAGATCAGTCTCAGATTGCCCTGTTCTGGGAAGATGGCCCTTGGGGGATCACACCTCCTGGTCACTTCATCTATATCGGCATTCAGCTCCTGCAAGATAAAGGCATGAGTTTCATAGAACTAGCCAGGGCCTTTGCCTTGATGGGGATGACCCAGGCGGATGCGTCAATCAGTGCGTGGGACAGCAAGTATCACCACGATATTGTGCGACCGGAAAGCGCTATTCGGGTGAGAGCGCCCAAGTTTCATAACCCTGATCCGCGGGTAACCGCACAGTCGGACTGGCAGAGCTACATCCCAACACCGGAATTCCCCGCCTACACATCAGGTCATTCGACCTTTGGGGCGGCCGGCACTGAAATGATTGCCCTCTTTCTAGGGCGTGATGAGGTGACCTTCTCCGGAAGGTCTCCTGACCAGGTTCTCTGGCCGGAGCTGACCGGCGTAACCAGACGCTGGACGAGTTTGAGCCAGGCCGCGGAGGAAAATGGCCTCTCTCGCCTTTATGGTGGCGTTCACTGGGAACTTGATCATGTTCAGGCCATGAAAGCAGGCCGCGCCATTGCGCGACAAGCCTATCAGACACTTTTTGTGAAGAGGGCTTGAGGCATGACTAAGAACAATCAGAAACTCTTGCTCTCCACCGTCTCAATCACCGCGTTGTTGGGGGTTGCGACGGCAGCATATGCAGATGGCGTATCTCTCAACTATGAAAGGCTCTCCTTCTTTGAAGAACCGCTCGCCACAGAAGTCGGCGATGTAACGCTGGAACTCAGAGGAACGGTAGATCTGCCCGTATCAGTCGAACTGGAGAGTGACGACAGGGAAGATTACAATTTCACCGGAAATTTTCAGGTCAGCGCAGAAACCCAGACAGCCAATCAGTTGACGCTGGGCGCCGCCTATTTTGGTCAATATACGACTTCAGATAGCGATGATCACTACACAGACAACGTAGCGGGCTATGTCGGCGGCGTCTGGGGCACGGTCATTGGCGGTAACGTCTCTGGTATTGTCCGCGAAGAGACAAGGCGCGCGCGCGGTGTCGGGAATGCTGAGCTGGCATTCGATGCGACCTACGGCGCCCTGGATGACCTGGGTGGTTCCTATGTCGGTCGCTATGGACCGGTCGTTCTCAGCGGTACCATTGATGAAGATGCAAATGTCGACGTCGGCTTCATGTTCCAACGTCCGCTTGGCAATAAGGACTATCGGTTTACGGGTCGGTACTCTGAGGGGACCTATACAGCTGCAGATGGCTCAACCGTCTTCGACACACAAGCAGTGGGCGCGGTGGCTGAATTCGTGTATGGCAGCTCAACATTTGATCTCGGCGCTGGCTACGAAGATTTTGCTTCCACGGCTGTAGATGTTGATCGATGGTACCTATCAACCGGGGCCCAGACCAAAATAGGCGTTACCAGCTTGTCCCTCGAAGGTCACTACGGTGAGGTCGAAGGCCAGGATGAGGTCGCAGCCTCATTTGGTGCGGCCTATGACATCGCCCGTGGCTTGTCAGCCAATCTTGGCGTCAATTACAGCTATGCTCCCATAACAGTAAATGGGATCAGTTTGAACGACGCTCAGGAAACAAAGGCTATCGTGTCTTTGCGGTATAGTTTCTAGACTAGGTTAGTCGGCGTGAGGCAAGGCTTGCACGCCTTGCGCCGACATTACTGAAGGTTCGACAAAAGACAGGGGTTGTCGACAAATGGAGCGGTTCGCCCGCATTCTGGTTGTAGATGATCAACCAGATATACGAGAAGCACTCGGCGCTCACTTGGAGCGAAGCGGGTTCTCTGTTGCGCTCGCGCAAAGTGCCAGCGCAGCGCGCTCTCAAATTGAACAAGATGCGATAGACCTTGTTGTGCTCGACATCATGATGCCGGGAGAGGATGGGCTGAGCCTATGTCGGCATTTGCGCGAAACGCAACAGCTGCCCGTTATTCTTCTGACGGCGTTGACAGATGATACTGATCGTATCGTTGGGCTGGAACTTGGCGCCGACGATTACGTCACTAAGCCATTTAACCCCAGAGAGTTGGTGGCACGGATTAAAGCTGTTCTTCGGCGAACCCAAAACCCCACGGACGTCACCCAGAATATGCACCTAAAACGGTTTGGGACATGGGTGCTGAACCTGCATAAGGGTGAATTGACTGACCAGGATGGCACCATTGTTCCGTTGAGCGCGGGCGAGATGCAGTTGCTCACAGTGTTTCTGGACAAGCGCGATTCTATTCTGACCCGTGATGAACTGATCGACCTGACAAAAGGACGGGATGCGTTGCCATTCGAGCGCAGCGTAGACAATATGATCAGCAGGTTGCGCCGCAAGATAGAGCCCAACCCGAAAGAACCAATCTATATAAGGACGGTCTGGGGCGGCGGGTACCGGTTTGTCACGCGGTCTGACGCACCGTGACCGATTTGCTTCGACTGCGTACCCTTCCCGGGCAGCTCATCACGCTGTTTGTTATTGTTCTCCTGGTCTCTCAGGTAGTCAATGTCTTGCTGATCGTCGGCGAACGTCGGCTGCAAGCGCGCTCTACGCTCTATGTCTCAGCTATTGAAAAGATGGCCGAAGGGACCGCCCAAGTCCTCGAATCTCCAGCCAGAAGACCTGGACCTGGATTCGCGCCTGGACCGCGAAACAATCGGGGCACCCCGCTTCGTATAGAGGTGTCCTCGTCCTCAGCGATTGATCGTCTTTCAGCAATCGAATGCCTCTCTTCTTACGAGGAGCAGCTCGCCGACCTGTTGCAAAGTCGCAATGTGAACTTTGAATCTGTGCATGTCTGCCGCGGAGATAGGTTGCAGCGACCGGGGCGTCAATCTGGTCCGGCAGGCGCTCGCCCGCCCCGCGAGGATATGCGGCGGGATCGCGAGCCGGGCATGCGCCCGCCCCCACCGGGGAGGCATCCCCCTCCGCCCGACCCGAGGGGGCCGCCCGGCCCGGGTTTTGAAAACATGGTTATGTCTGTGCATTTGTCGGATGGTCGGTGGATTAACGGTATCACCGGTCACTATCCGCTGGAAAACATGACGCCTCGTGTGTTTTTGGCAACTGGCGGCATGATCTTGGTAACGGTTTTAGTCGTGGTCTTTTTTGCCAGGCGTATAACACGCCCCCTGACCAATCTGGCTGAGGCTGCCGATCAGCTGGGCCGTGGTGGGCATGGAATATCGCTGAAGGAAGAAGGGCCAACCGACCTACGGTCGGCCATCGCCGCTTTCAATGCCATGCAGGAACGGCTCACCCGCATGATTGAAACACAACGGACGATGCTTCGGTCTGTCGGACATGATCTGAGGACGCCGCTTACGTCTCTGCGCATACGAGCCGAGATCATGGAACCGGAAACCGAGCGCGTCAAAGTCATCGCCACTCTCGATGAAATGAAGACAATGATGGAGGAAATCCTGACCTGGGCGGAGGATGCCTCAGGTATGGAGGAGCTTCACCGGGTCGACCTTAACGCTTTGCTGACCAGCTTGAGTGATGACTATCAAGATGTAGGGGCGAACGTGACCTATGAGGAGGGCGTACCCATCATCGTTCTATGTAGGCGCGTTTCTTTGCGTCGAGCTCTCCGAAACCTCATCGACAATGGTCTGAAATATGGGAGTGAAGTCAAAATTTCGGCTGTCCCTGATGCCGAATCCGTTCGGGTCTGCATAGATGACAAAGGACCCGGTATTCCAGAAGAGGATCTACGCGACGTCCTTAAGCCATTTGTCCGACTGGAGATCTCGCGTAACAAGGATACCGGTGGGTCCGGATTGGGCTTATCGATCGCTCAGTCGATCATACAGGCGCATGGCGCGGAATTAGACCTCCACAACAAAAAGTCGGGCGGCTTACGTGCATCTTTCAAGCTGCCACGAGAAACCTGAATGCAACGCTCAATCGATCAACGTCAGGTCGAATAAGAAGGGTCATACATATAGTCGCGGATGACCTGGGCATATCCTTCAGGGTACGAAGCCTGTGCGACACCCTCACGACAAGCCGTATCGGCGACACGCTCGGCGATCTTTGCTGAGACATTTCGGATTGTGGGCAGTCTTGGATAGATCGCGCCTTCCGCAATGTCTTCGTCGGTCACCTCATCAGAGAGTGCTTCTGCGGCTGCCAGAAACATGTTTTCCGAAATGACCGTCGCGTCCGCAACAATAGCTCCCAGCCCAATGCCTGGAAAAATATAGGCATTATTGCCCTGAGCAGGGCGATGGGTGTGGCCGTTGAGAGAAACTGTTTCAAAAGGGCTCCCACTGGCGAAGATCGCCCTGCCATCGCTCCATTCATATGCTTGCTCGGCCGTGCATTCAGCACTCGAAGTCGGATTGGACAAGGCAAAGATTGTCGGCCGGTGGTTGATCTCCGCCATCGTTTGGACCACCTCATGGGTGAACGTGCCTGGTGCACCCGTGGCACCGATCAACACATCCGGTTTGATCGTTTGGATCGCAGAGAGAAAATCCAGTTCTCGATGTTCATGTGCATAGGGCAGATTGTGAGGCATCAAATCCGTGCGGCTCTCAACAACAAGACCCTCGACATCGACAAACCAAAGCCGCGCGCGGGCCTCGTCATCGGGCAGTCCCTTTTTCTGAAAGGCAGCGCAGATCAGGTCTGCAATGCCCGTCGCGGCAGATCCCGCGCCAAGAAACATGATTTTCAGGTCTTCGAACTTCTTGTCCGATATGCGTGTGGAGGCATAAACACCGGCGAGGGCAACAGCAGCGGTGCCTTGAATGTCATCGTTGAAACAGAGCACCTGGTCTCGATAGGTATTCAGCAGTCGATAAGCATTGGGTGTTTGAAAATCCTCAAACTGAATGAGTGCCTTGGGAAACTTCACCTGAACGGCATCGACAAATTCCGCCACCAGCGCATCATATGCGTCACCGCTCACGCGGGGGTAGGGATAGCCAAGGTAAAGAGGGTCTTGGCGAAGCTCTTCATTTGCCGTGCCGACATCAAGCATAACAGGCAAACATTGATGGGGCTGAATACCGGCGCAGGCAACGTAAAGCGCGAGTTTCCCAATGGGGATGCCCATGCCGTTTGCTCCAAGATCCCCAAGGCCAAGGATGCGTTGGCCGTCGGTAATCACGATCACGCGAATATCCTTTTCCGGCCAGTTATCGAGCATTGGGGAGATGTGGCCGCTGTCTTCCGGGGTGATGTAGAAGCCCTGCGGTTTTCTAAAGATGTGTGCGAATTCTTTGCAGGCCTGCCCCACGGTTGGCGTGTAAATCAGAGGCATGATCTCTTCGATGTGATCGATCAGCGTTCGATAGAAGAGTGTTTGGTTACGCTCCTGAAGAGCCGTCAAGAAGATGTATCTCTCAATATCGTAAGCCTTGCGGCGCATATTCGCGAGAACACGCATCTTCTGTGTGTCGAGGTTGGAAACGTTGTGGGGTAGCAGACCGCGTAGGCCAAGCGCGTCGCGTTCTTCCCGTGAAAATGCTGTCGATTTTGTTCGAACCCTATCGCTCAGCAACGAACGACCTAGTGCTTTCCTCATACCGCTTACCCTCATCTTGTCGCTCAGAAGCCTTTGCAAGAAGAGAGACTATAGGCGTTATCCGCTCACGAAGATCATTTGTCGGTCAATTCGTGGTGAGGAAGCAGTGATTTTTAGAACGGACCATTCGCGGTTGGAGCATAGTCACTTCCCACCTGCGATCCCGTCCTTCGGACGTGAAGGCAGGCGACTCCAGATTGCTTCCGCCAGACTGAGTGCAACGACAAAAAGGAGAAAAACAGCGACGATGCGCAGGTCATTGAAGTCGGTACCTTTGGCCCAGGCGGGAAACTTACCCCATGCAAAGTAGACGCCGTAGCAGATGCCTGCAGCTACCGCGAGGCCGACCACATGCCAGATCAATCGGACGAGCATCACAGGACCTCCACACTATTGAGGTCGACTTTGAAGACCATCAGATCGCCCCGCCGCTCAATTTGACCATCAACTTGCACCCGTGCTGCGACAAACCGCTGAAGCTCTTTGTCGATCGGGTTCCCGTTCTGATCGGAGAGGAGGAAAAACTCTGTTCCCTCTACCGGCGCAGTGCTGACGAAAACGGCTGGCACACCACCATTGAGACACAAATTGGCGCAGGCTTTGTGGGCGATTCCAGTGCCCGGACGCATGGCGCCGACATAACACTTGCCGTCGCAAATTTCGCCGGTCAGGCGCCAGGTGCCGAGATCTGTAACGGAAAGATCAATCGCTTCGCGTGCATCGTCACTCAGCCGATCAACTGATGCTTGTAGAGGGACACGACGACCTACTTGAAGCATGTCGATCGTGCCCCGTTTCAACAGCACGCCGCCGACATCAACAACTTTCCCTGCGAGTGCTGCAGCCGTCGCTTGCACGCCTCGTTTTCCCTGGCCTGCGAGGAGAAGCGTGTGCCCTTCTGGGTAGGTTTCATTTGGAGCAACACGGACGAGAGGATAGGGAGCAGTCTCCAGAATGCCGGTGAATGTTTTGTGCTCAAAGAAAAACCGCCCTGGCCCAGGGTCAGGCTGCGTTGCAGAGATAAAATAGCCCGCGCCCGACATCGCCCCGACAAAGGCCAGAATGACCAATATCATGAGAGAGCGACTGCCCCGCGGCACGCCGCGTAAGTAGCCCACAAAAAAATCGTCATGTGTCTTGGCCATTAGACGCTCTCCCCAATAAGGACCGGATCAACATGTGTTCCAGGTGGGTTGGGTGTTGGGTCAACAAGAATGTCACCATCTTTAAGAAGCAGCCGGTAGGTGGCGATTTTTTCGGTAAAGGGAGCAGGCGCACACCCATCTTCAGGTCGGTATTGAAATCCGTGCCAGGGGCAGGTGATGCAGCCATCAATAATGCGCCCTTCGCCCAAGGGGCCGTTCTGGTGCGCACACGCATTTGATGTGGCTGAGAGCTTTCCGTCATATCGAAATATCGCGATGCGTTCGCCGCCTGGAAGCGGCACCACATGTCCATGCTCATCTTCAAGGTCTTCTAGGCGTGCAACATTGACCCAATCACCCTCAATCATTGCCGTGGTGGATCGATCTGCTGTCGTCTCGCGCTTGCCAGCTGCAATATGGAGAAGCAAAACGGTAGCGGAAAAGAAGAGCACAAGAACAGGGAAGATAGGGTCTGTCGCGCCTTGCATGTAACCAAAAAGCACATGTGCCACCAGGGAGGCGTAACCCACATAAATCATCATGTGGAGCGCTTTCCAGAAGGGTGGCGTAAAGAACTTCAACCAGAAGTCATGGCTTGTCACCGCAAGGACCAGCAGCACAAACAGCGAGAAAATGCCGAAAGCTTCAAAGGGGAAGCCCAGGAACTGACCATAGTCTACATTGCTGGTGAGAAGGGCCACATAGCGGTCAGTTGGTGAAAAGACATAGTACCAATCAATGACATAGCTGGCGTGGGTCAGCGCGACAGCGAACGTCAAAACACCCAGGTGCCGACGGTTGTACAGCAATGGAAGAAAGCGCTTATCAAGCCGGGCCAGCGGACCGATGCATAAGATGATCGAGAGGAGCAGGAACGCGCAGGTGCCAAACGCACGCATGCGCAGAATGGGGTAGTTCACCTGCTGCGACCGTTCGATTTCCATAGGTGCGAACTTGAGGAACAGCACGATGTAAAGCACGATGCCTGCAAGCGCCACGAGGTCATATACGTACTTGTTTGGGTTCCACTGAACCGGAGTGTATTTGACGCTCATCGGAGCTCTCCCTGGTTGGCGGTAGGAGGGGAGAGTTGGATTGGCGCGTGATCAGAACTTTGCTGATAGTGAATGATGCCAGCAATGGCAAAAAGCAGCGGTAGAATGAATGCCAATCCGCGCCAGATCGCAAAATGAGCCGTTCTATGGCGTCTTTTCATGGGTAGCCTCTAGCTCGTTTTAAGTTCAAGGCGGATCCACCGCAGGACGACCAAAGGCCACAGGCTGACAATGGCCGGGATGAGCAAGGGGCGAAACAGATAGGCGCCGCGAGCGTCTTCATCGATGCGGTCAATGCCGATCAAGAGAAACAAGGCGCTTACCCCGACGCCCACGAGGGCGTACATGCGCAACGCGGCCAGGGCCATTTCAGCAAAATCCATATTCCCCCCAGAATTTGACCTACGATACCGGCTCGTAGAGCCTCAAAGACTATTGAGTCTTGCTTCCTATGTGCAATACACAAGTGCAACATTGTGATCAGTTTCGCTCTCAAATTCGTCATGTGTTCGTGAACGGAATTTCCGCTACTCATCTCGCAGTGGCGAAAGCTTTATCGAGGGTCAGGTGTCCCGTTTTTTTTCAATCAATCTGCTCATGATTTGTGCATTCTTGCATCTCCTTGCGCCGCCCGCGGCAGCGTGTGGAGCGAGCGACACAGATTGTGTCGTGCGATCAGGGAACTATCGGATTTACCTGCCTGACAATTTGGACGGTGACCGCCCTGCCGGAGCCGTCCTCTTTTTCCATGGGTGGAAGGGGTCGTCGGAAGGTGTCATGCGCAATACGAACCTGCAGGCGATGAGTGATCGTCACGGCATCGCCCTCATTGCCGCGAACGGTCTCCGCGGCGGCTGGTCATTTCCCGGGGCGCCAGCAAGAGCCAGAAACGAGCTCGCCTACGTGGGAGAGGTGCTGGATGACGTCCAGGCCCGGTTCCATGTACCAAGGGACAAGATCCTGGCATCTGGTTTTTCTTTAGGTGCCTCGATGGTGTGGAGTCTGTCATGTTATATGGGTGACAGGTTCGCGGGTTTTGTGCCTGTGGCAGGCACGCTATGGAATCCGCTTCCAGAAACCTGTCCAAGTGGCACGCCAAACCTTATGCATTATCACGGGCAAAAAGACGGGACCTTTCCATTGATCGGGCGTGCGATCGCTGGAGGCCTCTATCGCCAGGGAAATACGTATAAGAGTTTTGATATCTGGCACTCTCAAGGCCAGTGTGAAAAGGAAGAGCCGGAGATCCTGGAAACCGAACCGTTCCGCTGCGAACGTAGATTGAGATGCGGCAGCAGCGTTTTAGAGCTTTGCGTCCATGAAGGCGGCCACATTTATCGTGCTGCCTGGATTGAGCGCAGCTGGGAAATTCTGTCCGGCCTTAAAGGTTGGTAGAGTGGCGCGTCGATCATAGAGAAACAACCATGACCACTGAAAACCACCAACAACGGACCGGCGCGCTGTTTGGCCTCACTGTGCTGGATCTGTCGAGGATCCTCGCCGGACCAACGGCGACTCAATTGCTCGGCGATTTGGGCGCAGAGATCATCAAAATTGAGCGGCCTGGCAAGGGGGATGATACCCGCGCCTGGGGACCTCCCTTCCTGAAAGATATGGAAGGCAAAGATACGGAAGAAAGTGCCTACTACCTGTCGTCAAACCGCAACAAACAATCCGTCGCTATCAACCTAGCAAGTGAGGAAGGCCGCGAGCTCATTCGTCAATTAGCCGACAGTGCCGACATTCTGGTTGAGAATTTCAAGGTGGGAGATCTTGCCCGCTATGGATTGGATTATGAGACGCTCTCCAAACGAAATCCTCAGTTGATCTATTGTTCTATCTCAGGTTTTGGGCAAACCGGCCCCTATGCTCCCCGTGCTGGTTATGACTTTCTCATTCAGGGAATGGGCGGGATCATGAGCATTACAGGCGATCCTCTGGACCATCCGCAAAGCACGGGTCCCATGAAGGTTGGTGTCGGTATTGCCGATGTCATGTGCGGCATGTATGCGACGGTCGGAATTCTGGCGGCGTTGGAAGCGCGTCACAAATCAGACGCTGGCCAGCACATAGACATCTCTCTTCTGGACAGTCAGGTGGCCTGGTTGGTCAATCAGGGTGCCTCCTATCTTGTTTCGGGAGAGGCGCCCATTCCACTAGGAAATGGTCATCCGACCATTGTGCCCTATGAAACCTTTCCCGCGTCTGACAAGGCCTTCATCCTCGCAGTTGGAAATGATGGTCAGTTTTCGAAATTCTGTTCTGCGGCAAGCGCAGAGCATCTGTCTGTCGACGAACGCTTTGCGAGGAACGTTGACCGCGTGCGCAACCGTGACGTGCTGATCCCAATATTGCAGGACCTGACCCGACAAAAGTCAGCGGCCGAATGGATTGAGCTGTTGGAAGCGGCTGGCGTGCCTTGCGGGCCAATCAACACCATTCCAGATGTTTTTGCAGATCCTCAAATTCAGCACCGAGAAATGAAAGTGGAAATGCCTCACCCAACCGCAGGCAGCGGGACCGTTCCGCTCATTGGCAATCCACTCAAACTAAGTGAGACGCCTGTTCAGTATGATCGGCCGCCTCCTGTGCGAGGTGCTGACACCAATAGTGTTCTAGCAAGTAAGCTCCATCTCTCAGATGAGGAGATAGCTGAGCTAACGGAAGCAGGCGTGATAGAGGACAGGAAAATATGAAAACCGGCGCGCAGATCATTGCACATCACCTATATGACGCAGGGTGTCGGACAGCCTTTGGCATTCCCGGTGGCGAAGTGCTCGCAGTGGTTGATGCGCTGACCCAAAGTGGCATCCAGTTCGTGCTGACGAAACACGAAAACTCCGCGGGCTTTATGGCGGAAGGCGCGTGGCATGCAACCGGTGCGCCCGGAATTCTTGTCGCCACGCTTGGGCCGGGAGTCGCCAATGCGGTGAACGTGGTGGCCAACGCCCATCAGGACAAGGTACCGCTCATCTTCCTCACCGGTCGTGTCGATGCGGCAGAAGCTGAAACCTATACCCACCAGGTTTTTGATCATCAGGCACTGTTGAGGCCTGTCGTCAAAGCAAGCTTTTGCGCAGCACCTGGTGCTGTCGGTGCAATGATTGAAAAGGCGCTTCTCATCGCCACGGAAGGTCAACCAGGGCCGGTCCATATTGATGTGCCGATTGGGACCGCGGAGGGTGCGGCACCAGAGGAAGATCGGCCTTTCTCGTCAGCACCCGCCCTTGGCGGACCGCCGGTTGCCGGGCTTGAGCGTGTAATTGCAAGTTTGGAGGCAGCCGAGCGCCCCCTGGCAATTGCAGGTGTCGACGCGGTCAATGAAGAGGCTGGACCTGCCATTCAGGCTTTTTGCGAGCGCTATGGTGTTCCCCTTATTACTAGCTACAAAGGCAAAGGGCTGATCAACGAGACCCATCCCCTGGCTATTGGGGGAGCAGGGCTGTCGCCCAAAGCAGACAAGGTGTTGATGCCACTCATCGAGCGGTCTGATTTAATCTTCCTGATTGGATATGACCCGATTGAGATGCGGGTGGGCTGGCGCAATCCGTGGGGGCCTGAGAAACAGGTGGTGGAGATAACGCCTGTCGTTCGGACTCACGGCATGCATAGGGTCAGCATGAGCTTCCTGTCACCTATAGCGGACACGCTGTCTGCATTGTCTGAAGCAACGGCGCGTGAGACATGGACGAATGGTGAAGCAAGCTTGGTAAGGACCGATCTGGCGACCGCGTTCACCACCACAAGCAAAGGCTTCTCCCCTGGCCATGTCTACGACACCTTGCGAAAAGTGCTTCCGGACAACACAGTAATGACGACGGATAGTGGTGCGCATCGCATCTTGCTGTCGCAAAAGTGGACAACCCATACACCTCGCACGCTCCTGCAGTCCTCAGCACTCTGCACGATGGGCTGTGCTGTACCAATAGCAGCTGGATATAAGCTGTGTGCGCCTAGCGTGCCTGTAGCAACTGTCTTGGGCGATGCCGGCCTTGAAATGATCTTAGGCGAACTCGCCACTATTCGTGATCTAAAGCTCCCACTCGTTATCACCGTGATGGTGGACGAAAGCCTTGGCCTCATCGAAATGAAGCAACGGGCAATGGGGCGCGCCAATACGGGCGTGGATTTTGACGGAACGGACTTCCCTGCAGTTGCAGATGCAATGGGCGGCAAAGGCGTCTGGGTTGATGATGTTGAGACGCTGGAGCGAGAGGCAACCGCGGCATTGAGCCGCGACACCTTCACCCTGCTTGCCTGTCGTATTGGGCGGCGCGCATATGATGGCGCTTTTTAGGCAGGCATCGCCTAAATAGGAGGCATTGTCCGCCACTCGATCACAAATCCGTGTGCGGTAGATCGCAAAAAGCTGGCGCCTCATCGCGTACTCTCAAATGCAAGTGAACAACGGCTCAAGTGTGTAGAAATCAACTTCTAATTGGTGCTACGGCTAGTGCTGGGTACGCGGCATAAACTGAGAGTGACCAATGACACACACAGACGCATTCGGATCAGATGTAACTCTGGACCAGCGGACAACGCTAGATCAGTGGAATAAGACATCCCGCGCGTTCTTAGCCCATGCATCTTCCACCCCAAATCATCTTGCAGCCGTCCTGGAGGAAGCGCCGACATTTGCGCTCGCTCACGCGTTTCAAGGTATTTCCTATCTGTCATTGGGCCGCAAAGAACTGATTGAAAATGCGCGCGCAGGTCTGGCAAACGCGAAGCAGGCTGCTGCGATCGCTGGGTGTACCAGAAGAGAAGAACAATATATTCAAGCGCTCGAAGCATGGCTGACAGGCAAGCCGGTGCAAGCAGCTGTGATCATGGACAATGTGTTGGCAGAGACGCCCGGTGATGCCATGGCGCTCAAGCTGGGGCATGCCATTCGCTTTATCTTAGGCGATGCAAAAGGCATGCGGCGCTCCATTGAAGCAGTTCTGCCTGTCTATGACCAAGCTCACCCGGCAACGGGATACGTGCTCGGATGTCACGCTTTTTCAGTAGAAGAGACCGGCGACTATGAGCTTGCGGAGGTCCAGGGTCGCACAGGCCTGGAAATGGCGCCCGATGACGCCTGGGGGCTCCATGCGATTGCCCACGTCTTTGATATGACCGGTCAGCCTATGGCAGGTGCCGGATGGCTTGGCGGTCAAACGGAGAGATGGACCCATTGCAACAATTTCGGTTTCCATGTCTGGTGGCACCTTGCGCTCTTTTTGCTCGCAATTGGCGCGACCGACGAAGTGCTTGATCTCTATGATCATAAGTTCCGTCTAGAACACACCGATGATTATCGCGACATTTCAAACGCAGCCTCAATGCTTGTCCGCCTGGAAATCGAAGGTGTGTCGGTCGGAAACCGCTGGGATGAGCTTGCAGATATCTGCGAGAAGAGAGTCCAGGATGGGTGTGTTGTCTTCGCCGACCTGCATTACATGATGCCGCTCGCGCGCCTAGGCCGGTCGGAGGCTGCAGAGGCTCTCATCGAGACGCTCACGAAGAGCGCGACGAATATGCACAGTGATATGAGTTCGGTTGCCAGCACTGCCGGCGTGCCGGCCGCGCGGGGCATACTCTCATACTACCGCGGGAACTATCGCGAGGCCTACCGTCATTTGGCGGCAGCGCGTACCACGATGCAGAGCGTGGGCGGCAGCCACGCGCAGAGAGATGTCTTTGAGCGACTGACAGTAGATGCAGCGATACGAGCGGAGCTCTCGAATGATGCAATGCTGGTTTTGCAGGACCGCGAAAAGAACCGAGGCGCGCCAGATGCGTTTTCAACCGCGCGCCTGAAACCTTCCGACGCAAGGTCTGTCGACGAAGAGCCTCTGGTGATGGGTGCTTCAGCGCCGCTCCTTGCCTAAAAATAGCCACTACTCTTCGACAATTCTACGCTGTGGGCCCTGGGTGTATGGCCCCACAAATGGGTATTAAGCGGCTCTCTAAAAGGGTATGAGGACCGCTGCAGGTGCATACAAAATGCAATGAGACAAAAGCCCCAGATTCCGTTTGCGTTTTAGACACCTACAAGAGGGGAGCCAACTCCACAAAAAAGCAAATGGTTATGTGTCAAAGTGGGGATTTGCACCGCAGGACACTTAGGGGACCTACAAGTAGGTTGTAACTAACTCTCCACTTGCTACGTTCCCTGCCACCAAATCCGCGAAGCACTCGGTCACTCAATTCCAGGCGGCGGTGGACCGGGATTTGCGGGGCTTCGAGCCGCCCAGCGATGCAGGTTTGCCAGGGGTCGCCTGTTCAAACCCACTGACATCGGTATGTTTTCTTGGGGGTTGGGCGATTCCGGGATGGTTTCCCAGTAACCCTCAATATAGACATGAGATCCAAGCCACCAATTGGCTCTCTCTTTATATATATATATATATTGAGTCCTTCTTGGTGGGTTAAGTATCACCTGTTCGGCCCATCCAAGGTGAGCTTACCTTAGGTGTGATGGATGTGAGTTTTGACCCTTTTGTGGGCGATAGAGTTCGGTGGGGGTTCATGCACCAAGCACTTCTGAGGTTCCCTACTTAAACTCGTAGCCGCATCTTAAAGCCACTGTTCTGACATTTTGAGTGACCCCTCGCTGAAAGAGCGTGTTTACCCTCTTGCTGGTTTACCGTCTTGCAGGTTTACCCTCTTGCTGGTTTACCCTCTTGCTGGACTCCAGGTTCTGCAAAAGGACAGCCTCCGTCTTCCAAGATCGTTTTGGCAGCTTCTTTGATTGTAAAGAGGGTATTGGAATTTAGATATGGAATGCAATAAAGATTCGAACCACCACCATAGGCTGGAGATAATAATGCTTTTGGCGATCACCATTTTGGTTGGGATTCCTTTGGGGTGATGTTAGGAGATGGGGGAGGCCAGGTCCACATGGCAGACATCGAGTTTTCTGATTTTGGACGTGATTTTCCAAGTGCCTTCCCACTGCCCGCTGCGAGTTTCATCTGGCCGGCTCCAACTTTGTGAGCGTGCTTTTTTGGGGGGCTGGCTGGGTGCTCAGATAGCTCTTGGGCTGTTTGCCCAAAGGAGAAGCGAGTACGGCTTGAACAGGCAAATCAGTGTTGGTCATGTGCCGCTGAGACCACACGGACAAGAGGGAGCCTTTAAAAGTATCCCTTTGAAGACTTGTAGCGAGGTTTGGAAGCATTTCTAGGGCGGTTTGGAGGAACACACAGCAAACTTGTTCGTTTTGAGAACACAGGACTGGAAGCCATTTTGCATGATGGAATGAGCTTTGCTGAGTCTTCTCGAGATGGACGAGTTCGACCATGAATTTGTCCTGCAGCTTGACCAGAAAGCTTGGCCAAGATATTTGTGGTCTTAAAATGGGCGGGGGGGGGGGGGGGCACAACTGGTGTTTTGTCCTTTGGTTCCCCTTGAAGAAGTGCTCCTAAGATGGTACCCGCAAAAGATACACCGATTCGGCTGTGGCTCAAAGTTGCGGACCCCAGGGTATCGAAGCTTTCGCTGTCTTGCACAGCGTCACACAGACCAGCGTTGTCAGAGACACATTGTTTGACACACGAACACACAAGGACAGAAAGGCGCAGACACAAAGCATGAGGACGCACACACACACACACACACACACACACACAGACATGCACAAAACCACAACGACGCAAAATTACACGCGCACACACACAACCACAAACACACACACACACACAACACACACCTACAAACACACAAGCACACAAGCACACGAGCAGACAAACGCACACACACACACAGACACACAAACACAAACACACAAACACACAAACACACAAACACACAAGCACACAAACACACAACAAACAGGAGAGACAAAGATTAAAAATTGCTTTGCAGTGCCCTTGATGGCCTCCACATTGTGCACGAAAGCAAAGACTACATTTGACAGCATACGCCGCGCTCATTTCTTTTGTTGTGCTTTCGGGCCACCAGTGCTTCTAGCTTCGGGTGCAAGTAGATGGCGCAATTCCCCCCCCCGCGTGTGGCCATTTTGGCCTCGTAGCCTTTTGTTACTCAGTCCGTGGAGCTGAGGAACTTGGAGGACAAGGAGGAGCGGAAGCGATTTGCCGCGACGCTGGCAGCAGTCCAGCGAGGTCTCGAGGTCGGAGTTCCTCAGGACGGCTTTCGCGGTTTTGCGCAGCGCCCAAGGCGGAGAAAATAGGGGAAGGCGAACAAACAGGTTTCAGCACTCAGAACAAATGTGTGTGCATTTGTTTGCGCCCGTTTCGGGTCCACCCCACTTAATCAAAAGGATTGTCTTTTTGGAGGGAATTCCATATCCCATTAGGGCCCACCTCTGCTCGCTCCCTGCACAAGCGCTTCGCAATCCCCCGGATAGATTCGGATAGATACTAGCTGGGGGTTGAAGGGAGCCAAGGAGCTGGGGCTATCCAAACTTCTCTCTGGAGTTCTCTAAGGACATCATAGGATAGCGGAAAACGTGGGGGTTCAAATGTGAGGAGGGGTGTGTGACTCAAGATGCAGAGTGTTCTGGCGCAGTGTGGCAAAGGTGCTGTTAGATGGAGCTACAGAGCAGGTTGTCAGCACAGCAGAAAAAAATGCGCCCCCGGCACGTGTGAGGTTTGGTCAACATGTGCCGTGGTCTACATGTCAGAGGGACATGATTTACGATAAATGTCTCACAACAACCAGAACCAGGGGGATGCTAAGCCCTGTTTTTTCAATTCTACGGTATCAGCATATTTTCATTTCCGCATGTTTTCTGCCCGAGCACAAGCACAAGCTCTTCGCAGGAGCCCGCTGTTGCCGCGCCCGGCACGGTGTTTCAGGTGAAGGTGCGCATTGAAAGAAAGGGGAAACCGAAGCCGATTTCCCGGATAGATTCGGATAGATACTGGCTGGTGGTTGGCAGGGAGCCAATGAGCTGGGGCAATCCAAATTTGGCTTTGAAGAGGGAGCTCAGAAACTACCAGGAGTTTTGTAAGGATATGACAGGATAGCAAAAAAAGCGGGGGTTCAAATTTGAGGAGGGGGGGGTGACTCAAGATAGGAGGTCGCTTTGCTGTTGCTTGCTTCTGACAAGTGTGATTGAGAGTTGCGCCGCGTGTTTTGGCGCAGTGTGGCAGAGGTGCTGTTAGAGGGAGCTGCAGAGCACACGGCGGAAACAAATGCGCTCTTGAGGGACGGTGTACTTTCTCTTCGGGGGGGTCCATGTCAGGGTTGGTCAACATGTGCCGTAGTCTACATGTGAGAGGGACATGATTTACGATAAATGTCTCACAACAACCAGAACCAGGGGGATGCTAAGCCCTGTTTTTCCAATTCTACGGTATCAGCATATTTTCATTTCCGCATGATTTCTGCCCGAGCACAAGCACAAGCTCTTCGCAGGAGCCCGCTGTTGCCGCGCCCGGCACGGTGTTTCAGGTGAAGGTGCGCATTGAAAGAAAGGGGAAACCGAAGCCGATTTCCCGGATAGATTCGGATAGATACTGGCTGGTGGTTGGCAGGGAGCCAATGAGCTGGGGCAATCCAAATTTGGCTTTGAAGAGGGAGCTCAGAAACTACCAGGAGTTTTGTAAGGATATGACAGGATAGCAAAAAAAGCGGGGGTTCAAATTTGAGGAGGGGGGGGTGACTCAAGATAGGAGGTCGCTTTGCTGTTGCTTGCTTCTGACAAGTGTGATTGAGAGTTGCGCCGCGTGTTTTGGCGCAGTGTGGCAGAGGTGCGTTTAGAGGGAGCTGCAGAGCAGGGTGTCAGCACGGCGGAAACAAATGCGCTCTTGAGGGACGGTGTACTTTCTCTTCGGGGGGGTCCATGTCAGGGTTGGTCAACATGTGGCGTGGTCTATGGTTCATGTGGGAGGGACATGATTTACGATAAATGTCTCACAACAACCAGAACCAGGGGGACGCTAAGCCCTGTTTTTCCAATTCTACGGTATCAGCATATTTTCAGTTCCGCATGTTTTCTGCCCGAGCACAAGCACAAGCTCTTCGCAGGACCCCGCTGTTGCCGCGCCAGCGTGCCCAGCTTCTGAGGCAGGACTGGGAAATGCTGGTTTTAAGAGATAGACCATGTCTCCTTTTGGGAAAGCAAAGGGGAGACGGTTTCAATAGCTTTTGGCGCCAATTGGGTTGAGCAAGTCCTGCTCCCAGGTCAGGTTTCTTGGAGGTAAAGGCAGAAGGGGCAGCGAGGTATTGCGCAAGCTGAGGTGGACATGGCCCTTCCTGGCTGTTGGAGGGAACTTGGGAGGGTGTCACTGCAGAATCAGCTGTACTCACATTGGCACACAGTTGTCAAGCATATTTTTATATCACACAATCGCTTTTGAAGTTTCTTTTCGGGGGTCTGTATGAGGTTCGGTCAAAACATGCCTCATTTGGGAGGGACATGGATGTAAGATCTCCAAGTTTCTCAACAATTCCGGGAACGTTGAGGCCTAGTTCTTCCAAAGGCCTCTCCGGTATCCGCATTTTTGACCCGGGGTTTAGCTGGAGGATCTTAGGACAACAAAAGAACCGAGTCGTGAAGAAACCATCCCAGGGAGACTCTGGAGAAGTCCTGCCGCGCAGGGGAAGCCTTCGAAGCCTGTCGCGGCGGCGCGGCCAGGGTTCCAGGCGCCAGCTGGTGATTGACTGAGACGAGAGATAGAATTGATGACAGTGAGAGATAGAATTGAATGTGATTTGGAATGCCAATAAAGCATGATCAAATGTTTATTTCATTGGCTTTCCGCATCCCTTTTCTTGGACATTTGTAAAATATCAAACCATATTAAGCCATAGACAGTCAGAGAAGAAGAACAACAAAAACACAAACACACACACACACCGATAACAATCATCTTCAGAAAGTTGATTTTACTCTTTAGAGTTTTGAACACTCTACAACATCATTGTTGGCATGTTATAGACATCTACGGTTATTTATCTTTCTAGTCATTTACAATTGAA